TTTTTTGTTGTTGTTCCTGAAGATGATAAGAGTTTCTTATCGAAAGCTTGAATAAAAATTGATTTTTGTTAAAAATCTCATATGTTTTTCGTAGCAGTTTTATACTCAATTATTTCCAAATTAATACCTACTGCTCTACCATCTAACTATATATCAATTACTCGCTCTAAGTATGGCGAAGTTATCTTTACAACAATTAGAAAAGTTGAAAAATCATCTATCAAATTCCAAAAATGCAAATGCGATCTAGAATTCCTTCGATTATGCTTAATTTATCGACTTACACCTACATTTGTTAAGATCAATCTGTGGAAAAAAAGAATAAAAACTACTCAGCAGTACTCATCATTTCAATATTTTTGCATTAAGAACGAATATGATAATAGATATAAAGATAGCATTAAATATGAAAAAGAAATTAACGAGCTGCTTGACTATTTAAAATCAAAAATGACTTACGTAGACTTTCAATCACTTCAAAAATTCTTACATAATAGTTCTGAAATAGCCAATGGAAAATTCATTAAAATACATGAAAAGAAACTAATAGAATTAAACCGCGGACCTATTGGTCAAAATTATCAAGAACTTAAATCTAAACTTATTCATAATATTTCATCTTATGACTTATCTCCAACCGAAGAAAGAATATTATGTAGAGGATGGGATTTTTGCATAGAAAATAAAATTACTAATTTCATTGATTTTAAAACAGATATAGAATTAAATGTATTTAAGATTCAAGAACATTGTCATCCTAATGTATTTACTACGCTATGTCGAAAACTAAATAATTACTCAGAAATATTTATAAAATCTGTAAAAAAGAAAAGAATAAGAAATATTAGTGATGAAGAATTTAATGCAATCAAGTCGTTAAAGAATAATAAAAACATTATAATCTGTCGTGCTGATAAAGGCAACTCCATTGTTATTTTAAATAAAGAAGACTATATAAATAAGATAAACGAAATCCTTAAACAAAAACAATTTAAACCTAGTAAACAAGGGATAATTAAAGAAAAAGAGAAATCGATGAATAAATGCATTTTAAAATTATATAATGATAAAATAATTGAAAAAGATACTTACTGGAAAATTCATTCTACTTGTTCCTCGTATGCTACCCTATATGGACAACCCAAAATCCATAAAGCTAATTATCCTCTTCGTCCTATTATTTCATCTATTGGTGCATATAATCATGATCTATCGAAATATCTGTATTACATAATTAAAAATAATAGACCTTCCCAATCATTTTCTTATATTAAAGATTCATATGAATTAGTGAAGAAGATTACAGGAATACATGATAGTTCTAATCAAATTATGATAAGCTTTGATGTAGATAATTTATACACCAATGTCCCAGTTAATGAAGCTATAGAAGTGACCTTAGATATGTTATTTAAAAGATCAAACCCAGCACCTATACCATTTACTCGAGAACAATTCAAGGAACTATTAGAAATAGCTGTATGCAATGTTCCTTTTCGATTTCATGATAAAATATACATACAAAATGATGGGGTTGCAATGGGTTCACCATTAGGACCTGTCCTAGCAGACTTATTCATGACACATCTTGAACAAAGACTTAATAAATTCTCAACCAATAAGCCTAGTATATGGATTAGATATGTTGATGATGTCTTTTGCATTTTTAAAAAGAATCAAAACATTAAAGATTTCTTACTAAGAATTAATAAATGGCATCCTAATATTAAATTTACTAGTGAATTAGAATTTGACGAAAAATTAGCTTTCTTAGATGTTTTAATTAGTCGTGATAATATAACACATAAATATAATACTACGATATATAGGAAACCGACTAATACCAACCTGTATTTATTATATGAAAGTAATCAATGCAGAGATTATAAATTAAGCTTAATTAGAACATTAGTCATTCGTATACATCGTATTTGCTCATCGAATGAATTAAAAAACCAAGAACTTAATCTAATGAGAAAAACTCTAATAATGAATGGTTATCCCTTACATCTAATTAAAAGAGGAATACGTGAAGGAGAAATAATAAGCAAAAGAATTATATCTCAACAAAAAGCACAAATATTACAACCGAAGAAAATATTGTATTTCATTCTCTCTTACTATGGACAAGAATCAACAATCTTAGCTCATAGAATAAAACGATTATGCAAAAGCTCTATACCTCATCTACAAATTAATGTATGCTTTAGAAAAACATTTACGTTAAAAAGTATATTTCTTCCTCTTCAAAAAGGATTAGATGAATCGAAAAAACATAAGAAACTAATATATAAAATTACATGCTCGGATTGTGAAAAATGTTATATCGGTGAAACCAACAGAGAAAAAGAAATTAGAATAAAAGAACATAAAGCTGATATTAAAAAACAAGCAGTATCGTCACACGTCGCTAAACATGCTAATGAACAAAAACACTCCTTTGACTTCTCACGATCTGAAACTTTAGCATTAGAAACTAATTGGCGTAGAAGAATTATAAAAGAAAGTCTATTTACAAATCTGTTAAAAGAAAAATCTCTAAATGATGTTAAATTTAAATTGAACATCTTTACTTGACCAATGCCTTCGGGCAGTTTTTGTGGGCCCCAATATGTTCTTCAAACATTAATAATAATTCGAATTATTATTAATTTATCTTTATTTGAACTTCAATCCTCTATCAATTAAGAACATTTATACAGACATATATATATTGTAATTTCAATTTTTTTTTGTTGTTGTTCCTGAAGATGATAAGAGTTTCTTATCGAAAGCTTGAATAAAAATTGATTTTTGTTAAAAATCTCATATGTTTTTCGTAGCAGTTTTATACTCAATTATTTCCAAATAAATAAGATGTCAACAAACAATCCATTTGGAGCGAATACAAAACAAAAACGTTTGTATTTGTATATATTGTCATAAATAAGACACTAATTCTGAATTTCATGATCAGAAAAGAAACGTGAGAGGTTAAAAAACTGAAAATTGTATTTCATTCACAGTCTTTTATGAGGAATCGAACGTTATTATTTTGTTTTTGATAAAAAAAAGTAGCATGAATGAGAATAAGTACATCTGCTTCGAGTTTGTCGAAGATAAATATCAGTCGAGTTGAAATTATTTTATCGCATACAAGAAACAATGTTATTCTTAATTGTTCTTATTCTTGTATTACCATCGACTAGTAAAGCTATTGGAAATATTCAAAAAGGTGCGTAATGCTGTGCTTTTTTTCCAAATCGCTAAGAGCATGAAAATTCTAACAGGAAATAATCGTAGGGACACAACTTTTTTTTGTCACGACTTTTCATTAATTTTGTTTTTTATTTCATCAATGGCTTGAAAACAGAAGCAATGAAATAATTAATTGATTACGCTAATTTTTAATTTAGTTTCCGATATTCCCTTACAATGGATTAATTGTAGCACATGGACCGATCAGTTGTCAATTGAGAAAGTAGAAGTAAATATGTGGCCACCAAAGCGCAATGAATTATTAACAGTATCCGTGTCAGGTGTAGCGAAAGAATCATTTTTATATGGTAATTATAATAAGACAATTGTTTATCGAGGATATTCTTTACCATCAATAATTGGACCATTAGATGATCTTGGAATTAAATTACCTACATATCCTGGTCCATTGAAAATGATTATATTTAATGCTACAATACCCGACGTGGCCCCCGAAGGACAATATGATTTATATGTAAAAGCAAGTGAACAAGATCATTTTGAAGTTCTATGCGTTAAAATTACTTGGGAGTTATAAAAATATCTGAAATTAAAATCTATGGTTTGAGCATCAATCTTTTGGTATTTTTTGTCCGTTTCATTCTCAAATAAAATCATATTTGCACTATTTTCGCAACTCTGAATAACGTTTGCTTGCGTTTGCTATGACATTATCATGTTTGCATGATTAAACAGCCAGAAATACGGTTTATTTTTACTTCCTTTTCCAGATGACTGATTACTTCTACGGAGATACATAAACGAATGAAGGTCCAATCCTGTAACTTTTTCACAAGTAGAAAAGCGAAATAGAACATTTGTGTGTTAAAAAGAATATACAAGAATTTTATATCACAATTTCAGCAAAACGTTGTCTATCTTAAACACATCTGTAAAATCAGAACTTATCGAATAACATTAGGCAAGAGAAACTACATGCTGCCTGCTACGTGAGTTACGACTATCTGTATTTTGTACCATAGTATCTCACCAGAGAATAGTAATTCATATGCGTGCAAAAAATAACGGACGCCAGATCACTTCAATCATTAAGCTTGCCAATAAGAGAATGAAGATCGGTTTTTGCCTGACTTATAATTTACAGAATTCTCTTATTGTGTCATAAACGATTCATTTAGGGTGTGGGTGTGCGTGTGGATGCCGTTGTCCGCCTCCTTTAGCACAGCAACCACCATAGCGAAACCCACCCACCCACACTCCTTCTGCTTCTTCAGCTTAAATTCGCTGTACAAAATCGGAAAAATTTTACTATTTATATTTGCTACTCTGCCTATACGTGTTTTTTCTTTTTCTTTTTCTAATTTCTAATAGTAAACACAAAAGATAAAAAAATATAACCTTATCGTCCAGTATTACCATGTTTTTCTTTCTAATACACTATTAGAAAATAGAAAAAGAAAAAACATGTGTAGGCAGAGTAGCAAATCCTCCCCTCCCCCTCCGCCATAATAGAAGATTCTTCACTTAATTAATCATTTTTTTGAAAACTGAGGACTTTAATTAGTGATTTTGCAACCAAGCATGTCTAGTTTGGGGAGTTTTGAGCTGAAAATCCCAAACCAGTGAGTTCAATACTATATCTGAGCTTCGAAAATCGTGAAAGTCGGTTCTCGAATCTTCAAAATCGCTTCGGTTTTCTAAGAAACCTTTTTTAATTAAAAATTCTAAAAATGCCAGTAGTGTCAAACTTGAAAGTTGAATTCAAGTATTCAACTATTCAACTACTCCAGTTTTTAATTAGTCAACGCCTGGAATGCTACCAGAATTACCGAACATTGACAGGTATTGTCTGGAATGCTACTAGCATCATCTTACATGCTACAGGATTCTCTAGAATGCTGTCAGTATTACGTAGAATGCTACAAGTAGTATATGAGAAGCTTGAGCTACCGTGCAGCACTGAGTAGGAATGATGGTGTACACAAAGACGTGCGTGCATCGTGACACTTCGGGGAGGTGCTTCGCGCCCCCACGCCGCGACGCTGAAATAAAAGATGTGTTAGGTAGTGAAAAGCATTTCCCCACTGAATATCTACAGAACACGTGACAAGTGAAAATTTGAATAGGTGAATACCTGAATTCAAGTTTGAAGTTTGACATATATGGCATTTTCGTATTTGGAGAGTGACAGTATGAGGTGATTTTAACATATTTCAGCATATTTGTTGATTTTCAACGATAGTAAAATACAAAAAGATCAGATACTTCGAAAACTTCGAAAAACCAATGTGTCATGATCAATGCTGTTGCTTGGAAGCCTTGTTTTTTCACAATATATATTCCACTTGTAATGGTTCACTGAGATTGAAATTGTCAGAAATGACTGACTCAAATAAGAAACGTTTCTATTAAAAATTGAATTTGATATATGATGTCAGAGTGAATTTTCAGTTTATTTATAGTTCTTTCATACTCTTGTGGAGAATCGTTATAAACTCATCACCTCAGAAGTAACAAAGCTATGAAAGGAAGAGAAGGGGTAAGTTGATAAAATTCAATATTAGTATATAGTTCTCCATTGAAAAGAATTTTGAAATTCGCCTTCGTTCATTTCTTGTAAGTAGTTCTGTACAAAGCACCCAGATAAACAAAAAATATCATTACACAAAACTAAATCTCGTGAGTCATAAGATAGAAATAAACAATAAAGAATCTACTGTAACAAAGATTTGCTTTTAATCGGACCTTTAAACCAAAATAAAATTTACTCTATAGTTTGAACCAAGTAGATATCATTTCCATTTTCTAATTAGAAAACAATGAACAGGCCGCAGTATGATTATTTTTCTCAAACTGATGGTGTGGGTGTTATTGCCCTCTTAATCCGCATTCACACCAACACTCATACCCTAATCGATAATAAGCTCGAGATACAGTATCGTCGCAGAGAAATAAAGTCCATCTGTGGATCGACTTTCTCGTTGTTCAGATGCTCTGATAACCTTCAGTAGAAATATTTCTAGTAGATACGTGGTTTATTTTGCATGCATGTAAAATTTGTTTTTCGAGTAAATCACCAACATCAATTATATTTTCTAACAAGAAATATTTGTACGCATATGAACGCAATACGGCAAAAAAGACTGCCGTGAATGATGTATAATAGAGTTGAGCAATTATTCTCTATGAAAAGCTGTAAAGAATACATTACAAGTAAAGGGTTCGTTGTCCGCAAACGAAATTTTGTTTACATCAACAAGAAAGGAAAAGCGAAACAGCAGAAAAAGTGAAATCCTGGTTAGAATGGTTTTAGAAAGCATCAAGTCTCTTTTAATGTGGTATAAAGAATCTTGCTCAAGGTATGGGCATTTATTTGGACAGATCTCCAATGCGGAACTGTCCTATATTCCTTGGCAATCCATGTTAATCATGTGTTCATGCTTTATTTTTAACTTTTAGAATCCGTCACATTAGATCGATTCAGTTCAACCTCATCACTAATAATCTGAAATGTCATATGAGAATCGTGCTGTTGAATCATGTTCGACGTCTTTCTTGTCAAATACCAATTTCTAATTGGTAAAAGTTGCAATCGCCGCATCATTCGCCAAGAAAGAGCTAGCCATACGCATCCGATCAATGTACATATGGCTACTTCAATTGAATAGGCCTCATATTTAGGTAACCAATTAGCAACGTGAAGAACAACACTCGAACTAATACTATGTCCTAAATTGCCTACTGAACTAACTAGAGTCATGTAAGTGCCACCGATTTGAGGATCGCTTACTTGAGCATAAAAACCAACGCGAGCAGCCAGTTGCAAGTAGATAACGCTCTCATTGACAGCAAAAATCAGAATGAGAAAACAATAGAAGAGAGTTTTGGTCGGGAAAAGTTGAGGAGTAAAATGCATGTAGATGGCTATGGCTACACACATAATCAAACGAAGTATGCAAAAACGAGCGAACCAATTCAGTGGTTGTCGAGTATTTGAAATAAACAGCGGAGTAACCAGTTTGACAAGAACTAGTGGTATGGCAATGAGACCGAGCATATCGCGAGCAATACCATGTCTTTGAAAAGAAAGCAGATAAATCACATCCAAGAATCTTTTTATGCAATAGTCTTATCTCAAATTCATAGACACTCGCTGATCAATAACATTTTGACGCGTTCATGCATCTCTATGATAAGCAATGGATTGATCTACTCACCTCATCAGAGCAATATTAGTCATGGAATATGTGGCAGCATATCCAAATGGACTCACAAGTAAAATCGAGATTAATTGCCCAATACATTTTTTTTTAAATATTTTTATTATTGACAAATAGTTTTCGAGTAAACCGGTATCATTGTCTTCGTCTTGATTTGATTCTTCACTCATGTTCTTCGATCGATAAATAATGGCAACACAACTAGTAACGACAATAAATGCGACACCCCAAAAGCGAAAGAATTGTTCGAGTGTAAAGATACCGTGTATTTGCGGTTCAAAGCCGAGAGGTATTCGCACATAGCGATTTGTAAAATTGGCTGACTCAAGTGTTAAGAGAACAGACGACGAAATAAACCGACCAAATGTTTGACCGATTATTTGCGATGTTGATTGCCACTGAACATTGGATGAAGCAAATAGCGACAAAGCCCAACCATCTAGAGGAATAGCATGATCATTAATTCAAATTGAATAGTTGTCTCAAAATCAACAGAACCGCAAAAAAGTACTCGTCAATTTTTCTACTATGTCATCGATTTAGAAAACCTCTTCGTCTCAATATCACTTCTCTTATCGAGGAAATTTTGTTTGAAAAAAATTAAAAAACCTATGTTCCCAATTTGCAAACGGTCGAATACATACCAACACAAATGTCTTGACTAGCAGTGAGAAAGTTCATCCAAAAGAAGACAATAGTCAAGATGATTATACGTAAATCGATAAGAAGCGTTTGTAGATAGAAAGAGAGTGCTATCATTGTTAGTCCGATTAATAATTGTATCGGTAGAAGCCATGTTTGTCGACGACCAAAACAACGAATATAAAGTGAATCGATGATAGGAGCCCAGATCAATTTGAAACTGAAAGCATAACCGGAAAAATTGAACGTGCCTTGCTGTTTCCAAGAAGCTCTATTTGAAGCCAAGTATAGTGTGAAAGTTGGAATAAGTCCGACAGAAACACCTTGAAGAAGATACAATATAAGGAAAAGTACGATAATTGAACGAGGGGTTCGCTGTTGGTGTGGCATTCTAATTTCTGATCAATAGACAAAATCTACAATTTCTTCAAAAAAAGAATCCGACAGATTTCGTAGTTTCAAGATATTCTCAAGAAGATGGCTGAACAAATTCGAAGAATTACTTCTAAAATTTTACTAGAATTTCCAGTAAAAGCAACTAGTACCATTTATGTTCATGAAGAAGTCACTAAATATAGACTAGAAAGTTCTTCAACTTGAAACTTTCGAAAATAGCAAACGATTCTCATATTTGGAGAGATTTCTAGAATTGTGTGCCAAAGTGTTGAACAGATAAAACAGGACTTTTTAAAAACTAAAATCCCAACTTCGCCTA